AGTTATGGTGTGGTGTGGAATTTGGGGAAATAGAATAATTGGTCCCCATTATTTTGAAAACACAGTCACCGGGCATTCATTCACAGAAATGATGGAAACAAAAGTGAGTATAGAATTTGTCACGAGTTTTGTTTTGCACCACAAAATTAATCAATATTTCAAAAACGACATTCTTATGAATCAGTTATATTCTTCCTTTTCGTGTGAACTGCACTCTAAACACTGAATTCAAACATTCAATTCACTTGTATTTTCTTATAGTCACCAAAAATGAGAGCTTATTTTGTATTATTGCTATTAATTGTGTTTATTGTACAAATGGTTTGACCACAAAAGACATCAAATTAGATAGCATTGAATTGACGGCAAAATTATTGATAGATTTGGACGAAAAGATTGAAAAAAGTCTAAAAACGGACACAACAGTGACATAAAATTAATTTTAAATATTAATTTAACTTTAGGTACTTCCAGAGATACGATCGCTGCCAGGATATGAAAATATGATATTTTTATGCGATGGCGCGTCCGCCTACTATTCTGTGAAGTGCCGCGAATTCCTGGACAGGGAATTCCCAAACCGTTGGATTGGCCGAATTCCTAATGGCCAAACCAAATCGTTGGCATTATTCCGTTGGCCACCGAGGTATGTTTAATTTTGTATATTTTATAAATTATTATGAAAACCAGCTTTTGCTGAAAGTGATTCCAATAAAGATTGATTGATTGATTGATTGATAGGTCGCCCGATATCACAATATGTGATTTCTTTCTTTGGGGAGCATTAAAAGGTAGCCGAGCGCTTCAAACGACTTAAAACAATGTATTTTTATTTTTAGGTTGGGTTTATAACATCGAGGTTAATACAAGAGCCGATATAATCTATTCGATCAATTTACACGTTAAATTGATTACTACACAAATGTTAATAAATGCGAGAAAATCATTTGGCAAACGAATGGATCTCTTATTGAAGACCGGCGGGAAACATATTGAACATATTTATAATTGTGATATTTAGTGAGAATCGCTGTGAACCAAAGGCAATGCAATCAACAGTTTTATTAACTTTTCTAGTCGTTTATCCTGTACTATATTTGGGATCATTTAATGTTAAAAAAGCATCAGATGTTATGTGAGAGCATTGGAGACAACAATCATTGATTTGTGCCAATCGTTTGAAGTGAACACTTAAGTCATCTACTTATTTACCGGCGTTTGTAAGATCGCCGCCATTGGTATTCATTGCAGTAATTTTGTGACAACTCATGAATTGGCCATCAATTGCAACATTGATCTAAAATGATTTTAAAAATTCATTCTCTGTGATACTATTCACAAAACAGTTACTTCTCTTTCAAATGAACTCAAACGCAATATCACTGTCTATGAAGTGATTTCCAAATTCTTGCACTCATTTCAAAGTCAATTCAATTGTGATTTTAAATAACTGCTTTTTTATAGATCTTATTGTGTACTATTTATAGCATTTATTATTGTTTAAAATTGTTTTAATTGTATGATTTGGAACATAATCAGTAATTCATACAATTATTAATCAGTTTTGTTTATTTAAATTATATAAAAATGATAATTTTGTATTTAATTAATATAAATTTGGGAAATTTTGTTTCGCAAATCATTTATTGTCCAACAATATGTGAATAAAAGTTGTAAACAAAAATCCAAATTTATATGTTTTTCATATTTGTATTTAATGTCCTCTAAATTTAATTTCAATTCATTGTAACACAAATCTATTTTTAGCTATTTGTGTTAAAGTTGAGTAAATATTTCATGAATTATTAAATTCTTTCACAAATACAATAGTATTATTTGAAACACTATTATAATGGAGTGAATTTTAATTTTATTATTACAATATTTTTGTTTATCTTAATTATTATAAATATATATAAATTATATTTAATAAGTCTTATAAATAGCGCAAATTGTATCATTGGCTTTGATAAATGTTGTATTGTGTTGCTAAGCAACGCACGCTTGTTATAGGAATAACTGCGCCCAGGGGTGTCGGTAATGCTCTTGCTACGGTGTACAGTTGATTACAATTTTATTATATATAAAAATTCTACTATAAATTTATTGCATGTATCTAATCATAAATGAAATGATTTATGCTTTGCTTTATTATCCTATTTGGTTGTGTTTTTCACTGATTTTGACAATAAATATCAAAATGTTTTATTACCTGATTTATGTTTAATCAAATAGAGTATATTTATATTGTATATAATAGATATTATATGACAATTGTACTACGTTAAAAACAAACCAATAAAACATTTTGATATCAATGTTAATATCATCGCAAAACACATTTAAACCCGGATTTGGGGCCAATGTTTATCTGAATATTCATACATTTTATAGTTATTCTGTTTAAACATAATAAAACTAATAAATGGTGTGTATTACAGTGTGTTTTATTTAAAACGCTTATAAACAAAAATGACATAATTGAATGTTATGTAGTTGTACATTATTTTTGTTCATTGTACACTATACTTATTTTGTACACTATTTTTTATAAATAAAAATTAACACAAAGAATGAAAACGTTTATAAAGCATATTGTTTTGTGTAAAAACCTTGTTTGTAATGAACAAAACTTTATGTTTTAAACTGTAAAAATTATAGACAATTAAAAATTCGAAATATTATTGATTGTATAAAGATTTCAACAGAAAATAGTGAACAAATGTTATCGTATAAATTTTTAAGAATACATAACTCGTGAAATGTGTTAATTTTATTCCACATAAGATAGGGGAGAATCTTTACATATGGAAAATGCATTAACAATAGTTCCTATGGGATTAAAGTTTAAGTCTATGACAATAGGTAATGCTAAGTCTATGAGCAATGTTAAGTCTATTAGTCAATAATCTGTAATAAATGGCAAATATATGCGGCAATAATACACTCGTTTATAATGAATGTAACAAATAATATTATTGTTAATAATAACATAATGTTATTCAATATAAGAAATCGTAGACGTATTAGCAATAATATTCCACTTCAAGGTATTATTATTAATAATTTATTAATAGAAATACAAATTAATAATTTATATAATTTAGTTCACAAAAGATTGTGGTTTAGATTAAGTAATAATTGATATTTATTTTAAGGTTTTAATATTATGTTCTAGTCTATATCTAGAAATATAATTTATAATAGTACATATTAAATATTTAAATTATATAATTATAAATTTATTATATTATGAAATTTTACTGAACATATCATTTACATGATTAACAAACCATACCATATGTGATCAATTTAATAAACATAATCAACTATTTATTAATACAAAGTTAAAAAAGTAACAAAATACATGAAAACAATGATTGCCCTAATGCTGAGCGTATTGGTGGTATTGTCAATGGTGCATGGTGGTTTAATGGTGTTAGAAGTGCCCACCGATGAGTATGCGAAAACCGAATGTGCTAAGTTGAATTGTAAAGCTCCTACACCCCATTGCGTATTTATAACAACTGGCTTACGTTATGATCCTGCATGTATATAATTTAATTATGTTTCACCATGGATTACCTGTCAAAACTAATTGTATAATGCTGATTTATAGCTGTATAATTGTATTTATTAGTAGCTTTGTAAATTAATGAGCAATTTATGTAAACATGATCATTTTGTATTAAATTTTTATTTTGATATTAATTAAAAAAATTATCAATATTTTGAATATTAATAAATTAATTAAAAATGCATAATGTTTTGTTTTAAGAGGTAATTTAAATAATAAAAACGTTGTTATATTTTGCTAATTCTTAGGATCAGTTTCGGTGATCAAATTGAGTACTTGTTGTCCAACTAATGCCAGACACTAACAACAAAATTATATCTAATTTTTTAACTTTCGGAAAATGTAGTTTTTATAACGGTTTTTTAATAATAAAAACAAAAAAGTTTGTATATGTTTTTCATGCTTGTATTTATTTGTATATAAGATTATTATTTACAGTATATTTTTATACTTAATAAATTAATTTTAAAATAAGTTAAAATAAAGTTTTTGAAAGGTAAATATTAAATATAAGAATGTTACTGTTAATTAATAAAAACTCATGATTTCAAATTGTATGATTTAAAATTTTAAAAGTAAAATAAATGTAACATTAGTTCATAAAAAACTGAATTATCATTAGATTTAAGTTTATTTAACACTGAATTAAAATCTTAGTGTTTAATGATACCATTCTTATTAATAGAGCAGTCATTATATTTTGCCAACACTTGGTGAAACTTATATTTAACAAAATTATGATAAAAAATAATTTATGTTTTGTATTATATTTGGGAGTTCAACAAATATTTAATAAAATTGCAATTAACTTGTTTTTACAATGAACAGTTTAAGTAAATTATAGAATATTAATTTTTATTAAATGTTCAATAATCTGTGCTATAAACTTCATATTCCTTACAGATTAAATATGTGTTGTATTTATACATAAAAAAAATAAAATATTTCTATTGTTGAAAATAAATAAAATAAATGATAAATTAAGTTTATTTCTAATAAATAAAACTATAAATTTTAAACTAATAATAACTGTAATTAATCTATGAAAATGTATTTTAAGTTAAGGCATTACACAGCCACTTAATTCTGCAATATGTGTTACATTATTTTGTTTTACGATATAAAATCTCATAGAAAACTAAACAATCATGTGATTTAAGTTTATTTAATACTGAATTGAAATCTTTGTGATTAATGATAACACTCTTATCAGTCGACCACTCTTTATGTGTGGCCAACAATTCCCGACACTCAGGTCTTCGTCTCCACGCAGTTGTCATCATTTGTTGAAGTGTTTCATACATACAGAATATGGATGTTTTGAATACCGATTCCTTGGCATCAAATGAATGCGAACTTAAAAATAAAAAATTTACAATAATTAATGGTATAATACATTTCATTAAAAAATTAATATAAATATTTACGAATGAAAATCAATGCCAAACAACTCTTCGCCGATTAAGTATAAGCTATAAATATCCGATTTGTGATTATATTGTCGCCCAGCGATCACTTCGGGTGCCATATATTTAAAAGTGCCCACAACTGAGTGCTCGTATCGGCTGGCAGTCTGCCTATCAGTGTTGTGATCGGTGGCCAAACCAAAGTCACACAGTTTTACACAACGATTGAATGTGAAGTTGGAGTCAATTAATATATTGTCGGGTTTGAGATCCCGATGAATGACTGGGGGTTTGGATTCATGCAAATACTGAACACACTCTAAAATTTCTCTAAATATTTCACATGAAATAAAATATTCAAACAAACTATTCATCTCTTCTTCCGGTTGTCTCTCGAAGACAATGGGTTTGTCTTTGAGAACAGATTTAAGACTTTGTGAACAGAACTCCATTTGAATGAAGAGATGATTGGACTCAAGCCATGAGTTGTAATACTGAACGACATATTCTGAATTCAGTTTCGCCAAATTTTTCACTTCTTTCAGATATTTTTCTTTGTTTTCTCCACTAAAATCTATTTAGGTATAATTTTATACGTTAATTCAAAAGATCAATATGAATTCTATTGCCTCCCTATAGACGTTGCATCGCCCACAGTATTTACTGTCATATAGTGATGATCATAGAATTAGTATTGCCCTTTACCTTTAAATTGTACTCTTTTAACGGCATATATCTTATCATCCAATCTATGCTTTACTTTAAATACAGTCCCAAAACCACCCGAACCTATGGCTAACATCTCAATGAATAGGGTTTTATAGTTACCATCATTTGTAGCTTTATTTTCATCAGTTGTTTATTGATCCAGTAATTTTGACAATTAATTAAAAATACAAACAAACTTATTACGTTATTTAATTAAACACAAATTAAATAATTACCTTGATGGGAATTTTTGTTGCCCAAAAATGGCGGCGATTTTTCAGATGATATTGGTGTTGCCGAGAATGACTTTTTGTCTTTAAACGTAGAAAACATAAGCAATTTAATTTAATATATGGTTCAAAATTAACACCATGTACCATCAGTTTGTTGTACTGAACCTTTGCTATGAATATCACATTTTTGTAATAATTTCTCAAAATTTGTTTTAGAGTTATTATCATTTGTTTGAATTATGTGTTGGCTTTCTTTTAATGCTAATACAGTTCTTTCGTTTAAATCTAATCAATAAATATAATGTTTAGAATATGATTTATATTTTAATCAAGAAAACTATTCTTAGCCATTGAAAATAATGTTCAAACTCATGTATGAAATTTAACTTGAGCATGGAAAAATGTATTTCAACTCATTGGAAAGCATTCATGTTTATGATTTTTATATCAAATACTATGAATAAGTTTTAACCATCTCTGGGCAAATCGAGTATTTGCGGGCATAATTATAATGAACTGTCCATGGTAGCATAAAGGCAAAGCCCACCTTATGCTCAATACTTTTTCTGATTAAAATTAATATAATACTGTAAGTATTCTTATCATTATCAATTACCTTGGTGCAAATTGTGTGTATCCAACATAAGGGGTGGCGACTGTATAAGTTTTTTGTTTTCAATAGTTGTTGATTTTGTTGATTTCATTTTTTGTTTGACTTTCAATTAAAATTTAAAACAATTTAAAAGTTATATTTATTATAAAGTTACATTATTAATATAATTTTAATTAATTATGTTTTTAAATAAATAAACTTACTGTTTGGCTCGTGAATGTGCATTGTGTCAGCACTCAATTGTATTTTTGGTTCAACATATTTTGGTTTTGTAGAGACTGTCTGTTTGTTTATATCTTCAAATTTTAATATAATTAAAATTATATTACATTAATACAATATAAAAGTTACAATAATACCTTTTATATGACTGACCATTGGTTTAGTTAATGGTTTATTTTTAACAACATCAATTGACTTATCATTTAAGTTATTGTTCTTTTTATATTGGATGACATTTGGTTTTGAAATTGTTATTTCATTGATTTCTTTTACATTAATTGTATTATAAGTTACTTTATGTTCTTTGGCGTAAAAATCGATAAAATTATTATAATTTGTTTGAATTATTTTGTGTTCTTTTGATATTAGATATATTTTGCCGTTTATTAAAACACAAATGAAATCACAATCATCTAGTATTAAATACGAATTAATTTGTTGTAGACTTTGAAAGTGATGTTCAGATAGTATTTGTTTCGGCGTTTTGTTAATGTTTTCATAATATTTTCCACAAAAATACAAACCATTTGTTGTCAGAAAATATGTCCAAAAATCATTGCAACTAATTGTTTTCACATTATTTATGCCTGATATGAATCGGGGTTTTAATACTTTCCCATCTGTTATATGGTGTCCCAATTTATGGCTTAGAGTAAAACCCCAACTGAAGACATATCCGTCGGATGTGATGGCAAACGAACAGTCATTATACGAATAAATGGATTGTATTTTATAATTATTAGGAAATTGTATTTCAATTGGTGTACAAATATATTCACTATTATTTCCACAACCAATTTGTCCCAAACTATTGTCACCCCAGGCATAGACCCGGCCATCACTTGTGAGAACAATTGTGTGACAATTGCCACAACAGATTTGTAATATATTTTCATCATTAAAATATGTTATAATCCGTGGTTTCATATAACCAACATTTGCTTCACCATGAGCCAATTGTCCATACTCATTACATCCAAACCCATATATCATATTCATATCATTCACTGCTAACACAAAATTACATCCATTGACAAAGTATTGTATGTTTTGATGACATAATTCTAGTATTATTTCTGCTGAGAGTATAGGACTGTTGTGTCCAACACCCAGACATCCGTTGTTATTCTGGCCCAAGCCGTAGACCATATCATCGGTTGTAACAAATAACACATTATGTCTAACATTTGTATACTCAAAAATATGTAATTTTGTAATATTTGTTTGAATAGTAATTGGAATTTTGTCATAAATTTTAAATTTTTTAATTAATTCACACATTATGTAACAATTATAGCACTGAATTAGAAAACAATATAATTGTGTAAATCACAACATTGTATTATAGATAGTTTTAATTTAATCAAAATAATATTCGCAAAAATATGTAAAACAAATAATAATTTTTTTGTTAAATAAATGAATAGTTCTCGTGAAGAAATACATTATACGTTATATTAGTTAGTTTAATAACCACTTCAATATAACCGTTGATAACAATTTGAATAATCTGTAAAAACCCAATGGTTTCACTGATTAGTGACAAAAGAATTTCATCCAACATATTATAAAGTGCTTTATTAAGTTATAAATATAAATGTTCATTTATTTTAACATCTAACTATCCTTTTGCAGTAACTTATTAATCGTTTAATATTTGTACCCTTTTTAACATATAAATTAAGATTAATTATTTTAGTTAAGAATAAAGGTCTTTTAACTTATCATTTAACTTTTATTATATAATGAATGAAACAATTGTTTTATTTATAGAACTATCTGTTGAAACATATTTGTAATGCAAATATTAAACACTATTTAAATGTTTGACGCTTTATAAATACTATTAATGTTTATTATAACTATTTAATTTTTAGCAATAAAATAAAAATTATATTTAAATTTTAACAAAATAATAATAGATTTTGCTTGAGTTTCAAAAGCTATACATAAAAATTTAATTAATAAAACACATTTATGGTAAGTATATATTTGTTATCAAGGTGAATCTAATGATGTTCCCTCGTTAAATAATGTTTTATGTGATACTAGTGTTTGGGAACTTAGTTTTGTCTCTGTTTTCAGTGCCTGTGTTTTACACATTAATGCCTAATATTTCCCGCCGCAAGTAACTTGCAGGCCAATTAAGATTCATATTACCGTATTACGCCGCATATAGGTGCATGCACTTATATCTGAGTTTTCACACAAGGGGTGCACCTATATCCGGATATAGGTATTTGACTTTTAATCAATCAAGATCTGCAAAATTATTAATCAGCCAATACTCATTGGTAATACAAAAATTAATTGTACCGTATTACGCCGCATATAGGTGCATGCACTTATATCTGAGTTTTCACACAAGGGGTGCACCTATATCCGGATATAGGTGCGGTAGTTTTTTAAGACAATTTTTACATTTTAGTTGAAATATGCATATACATCGAAATGAAAATTATAAGATCTGTAAATATATTTTTAACACAATATTTGAAATATATCTGTATTTTCTTAAAAATTAGTGAGTTTTATAACGGTTGAGTACATTAGTGTAAAATGTCTCAATCAATGGACATGTCTTCAAGTGATACATCAATTCTAATAATCAAATTGATCAGATCCATGAAATATTTATATATTTCCTTTAATTATTAATGAATGTAAAATTAATTTACTTTATAATTTACTTGTTATCTTATTATAACTTATTATAGATAACTTATTAACTTTTTATAAATAATTTTGACAAATAAATTTTGGTGCACCTATATGTGATTTTTACACAAGGGGTGCACTTATATCCGGATATAGGTGCGGTAGTTTTGGTGACATGTAAAATCTGTGAAATTCACATATAAGTGCATGCACCTATATGCGGCGTAATACGGTACAATTAATTTTTGTATTACCAATGAGTATTGGCTGATTAATAATTTTGCAGATCTTGATTGATTAAAAGTCAAATTTACCAAGATGAGTCAAAAATTACCATCGATTCCAAAACTAAGGAGGACTGTTTAATTTCAAACAAATAAAAACAATTTCTATGAAAATGAATTAAAAAATAAAAAATAAATTTCATTTGAAAATTATTAAAACATAGTTTTCCCGAAATAAAACATTCAAATTTGTTCGAAAATAAGGGGTAAAACTGTAATAATCGGGGAAATGGCAATCTTATTTTGGCCCTTGACGTCCAAAGGTTATATGAAAATAACTATATAATAGGTTACCAAAATATGTAATATACTTGTTGATAATATAATATTAGTACCGCCTCTGTGGCCGTTATTTTAATTTTTAAAACAGTTACTCAATTTTTCCCATTTCTGGCCATGTTTTCCGTCGTGATAGTCTGTTAGAACTTATCAAATACATCCATTTGATATGCTATATAACCTAGTTTATTCAAAAACTTAAACACAAACGAGCAGAATTGAGTAAAATTCTTTAAAATTTAAATTGCTGCAACGGAGGTGTTACTAATGTTAAAGGGATATATTATATATTTTTGGAATCCTCTTATAGAGAGCTATCATTATTTTCATATAACTTTTCGACGTCAAAAGGCGAAGTTATATTGGATTTTACCGATTGTTTTAAATTAATTCATTTGCAAGTACACTTAGAATTTGGGCATGACTTTATCATTGTTTGCCACATCCCTCAATTTGATGGAGGGGGGAGTTAGGTCGACGAGTGTTAATAACTCATAGAAAACTAAATTATTATTATTTTTAAGTTTATTTAACACGGAATCGAAATCTATATGTTTAGTGACAACACTCTTATCAATGGACCACTCGTTATGTGTGGCCAACACTTGCCGACACTCAGGCCTTTGTCTCCAATTGAGTGTCGATATCATTGCCACTAATGTCTGGTATAGACATAGTATTGATGTCTGAAATAAGGATTCCTTGGCTTCAAATGATAGCGAGCTTTAAAACAATATAACAATAAATATAATATTAAAAGTAAATATTGCTTAAAATGGTGTCAATACTTACAATTGTATATCGAAAGCAAACAATTGAACGCCAATTAAAGAGAGACTATAAATGTCTGATTTATGGTTATATTTACGGGAATACACTTCGGGTGCGATATAACTGGTTGTGCCCACAACTGAGTGCGCATATCGGTTGTCAGTATTTCCGTCGATGTTGTGATCGGTGGCCAAACCAAAGTCACATAGTTTTACACAAGGATTAGATCTATTATTGATTGATATTAATATATTGTCGGGTTTGAGATCCCGATGAATGACTGGAGGATCAGATGAATGCAGATATTCAACACATTCTAAGATTTCCTTAAATATTTCACATGAAATGAAATATTCAAACAAACTATTTATCTCTTCTTCCGGTTGTCTCTCGAAGACAATGGGTTTGTCTTTGAGAACAGATTTAAGACTTTGAGAGCAATACTCCATTTGAATGATGAGATGATTGGACTCAAGCCATGAGTTGTAATACTGAACGACATATTCTGAATTGAGTTTTGCCAAACTTTTCACTTATTTTAAGATTTTTTGTTTTTGCTCTTCACTATAATCTGAAATCAATGAAATATATTTAAAAATATTTTCAACATTAATTAATAATTATAAATTATATATACCCCCAAATTGTACTCTTTTAACGGCATATATCTTATCATCCAATCTATGCTTTACTTTAAATACAGTCCCAAAACCACCCGAACCTATGGCTGACATCTTAATGAATTGAGATTTATAATTCCCATCATTTGTTAGCTCTGTATTAATAGTTTGCTTGAAACTGGGCATTTGTTGTATTAATTCATCAATCTCATCGCTTGCCTTATCCATTAACCCTTATTGCGCATCGTTAAAAAATTACGTATCGTGCATCGAGGTAAATTATTATTTATGTACGCATTGTGCATCGTGGCAGTTAATTATTTATGAACGTATCGTGCATCGTGGCAGAGTTTTAAATAGTAATATAACAACAAATTACGTACATAGAATTTATAACTTTTTACTTCACATAAGTGTTTTACTAATTATGGATTAATTTAGTAATGCTTGGGTGTGCATACCTGATGATTACTTACAATGATTACACATATATTGTATTATAAACACAATTCATATCAATTGACAGAATTGACCGGAAATATATAAACTCCGGGATATATGCTATAAATTTGCATTACATAAAAAGCTAGTATACATTGCCCGTAAAGTTGGTAAAATAATTATTTTTAATACAAAAACATAACATTTTAATTTTGAAATAATGTTTTTATTGAGTGATGCAACTGAAAGAATACTTGTAATACAATTAATTCAATTAAAATTTTAATTATTAAATTTTATTCATTTTCTGTATAGTCCTTATCAGCACAACTAGTACTATACATTACCATATGATTATCTTTACAAATATGTTGATCACAATCACTGCATTTTAATGAACACATTTTATTTGCATTTCTGGGACACAAATAACACCTTCGTTGCTCTGTATGTCCAGTACTTTAAGGGCGTTTGCGCTGAGATCCGGACGGAAGAGAACTCATCGACTGAGAACCGGAAGCCATAGATCCAGTCGGTGATACTGATACAATTGAACCATAAGGTTTTGTAATGTTAATTATGATTTCACGTAAATCACGGCTAATGGTCTTGACATCCAATCGGGAAATCATTTCGGGAACAGCCAAGCATTCTCCCAATTTGTGCAAAAATTCCCGGCGCTTATAGGATTTGGAGTACAGTTACTATTGTGGTGCCTAAATATGATGTAACTATTAGTGGCCATTATATCGAGAATTCCAAAAAAGCGGGGTTGGCCAACGATTGGTACGCCTGCCCATTGAATATGTTGAACACAATTGATCCATTGTGTGGACGCCTCCTTTTGTTTTATTATAGTCTTCAATAATTTGAGGCTTTTGTGTTGATTGATTTATTGCATTATCGCTATGCATTGTACTCAATAGTAATACGGTTTTGTTTTTCTTTGGATAAAAAGCCAATAATGAGATATTATCTTTACGGACAAATTGTGTGTGCATTAACTGTGAATAAAAATTTTAAAAAAATTTAAATATAACATGAAAATTATAAATAATAACCGGGCGTTTTATTTTGGCGATTAATTCCTTTGGTATTTCTCTTTTATTCTTCTTGAGAGTTCCAATAATTGTCAAATTATGAGCAAATAGTTGTTGAGCTAATGGAAAGCTAGTGAACCAATTATCACATGTGATGTTTCTGTTTGAGCCTTTCAAAGGGTTTGTCATATCAAGAACTATTTTTGAACCGAGATTTGTAGCTCTAATGCCATCAGTTTTGCCGTTATAGAATATTGAATCCCAACAATAGGCTGTGTTCGCGTCGCACATCATAAAAAATTTTAGTCCATACTTTGCTGGTTTATTCGGCATGTATTGTTTAAAAGAACATCGCCCTCTAAATGCTCTTAGCATTTCATCGATGGTCACAAATGCTGATAATTCATAATTTCTTTGGCAGTTTTGGCGAAAAATATTGAAAATTTCACTGAATAAAGCGAGTTTATCACCGGCGGCTTTCCGGGCGTCTCTTGAGTTTTGGTGATCAAAACATACATTTTCAGTGAGAAATTGAAAGCGTCTCAATGGCATTACTGCTCTGAAAATGTCACGACCTCTTCCATTAGTGTCCCATAAATCACAGGCATTTTCGTGTGCAGATTTATGAACACCAATCATCAATGATATGCCAATCCAGGCCTACATTTCCCTGTTGTTTGTCGTGTGTTCGAAGGATTGCAAAACTTTTGTTTTGGCATTGATTTTGATGTTAATCTTGTTATTAGTATAATTCACAATTAAATTTAACATATCAGTTAAAAAATGCCTAAATGTTGACAAAACATCTGAACAATCAGATGAATTGACTTTTGGTCCACTTTTAAAACGAATGATATTGTGTTGTAATGTTTTAGTAACTGATGTGGTCACTGATTGTGATGATGATGATGGTTGAGATAATGTCTGACCAATGTTTGTATTATCATCATCTGAATCACTTGCAGAGTAATAGACTGGCTCTGAGTCTGAGTCCAATTCAATCTCTGACACGCTATCGTGATCACTATTTTCAGTGTTATTAGAGTTAATATCGCTGTCATTATCCTCAAATGTATGATTGTTGCCATCATTTAGTATCCAATCGAGATCGTTGTTTGCTGACATTTTGGCAGTTAGTGGCGGTCAATAGGACAATAACATATGACCACAGCTATAGCGCCAATTAATAGTACACTAACACATGACCACAGTTATAGTGACACTCAATAGTACACTAACACATGGCCACAGCTATTGCGACAATCAATAGTACACTAACACACGGCCATAGCTAAAGCGGCACTAAATAGTACACTAACACATGACCACAGGTATCGTGACATACTGTTTTATTATTAGCTTTGTTTAAATTAATTGTATTATAACTTATTTGACATTTGTTTGCGTAAAAGTCGACAAAATTATCATAAGTTGTTTCAATTAATTTGTTTTCTTTAGAAATTTTATACAATTTATTATCGATTAAAACAGTAGTGAAATCAAAATCCCTTTTAACCTGTGATTGAATTTGTTGTATACTTTGGATGCGATGTTCGGATAGTATTTGTTTTGGACGTTTTTCAATCATTTCTTTATTATTTTCATAATATTTTCCACAAAAGTATAAACTATTAGTTGTAAAAAAATATATCCCAAATTGTGTACAACTAATTGTTTTCACATTATTGATGCTCGCAATCAATCCGGGTATTAGTATTTTATCATTAGTAACATTGTGTCCCAATTGATACTCTATATTATAACCCCAACTGAGCACATATTCATCGCTTGTGATGGCAAATGAACAGCTATTGCAACAATATATTGATTGTATTTTATAGTTATTATTAATTTTTATTTCAATCGGTGTATCAATACTTTGGCAGTTTTCATTTGAATACATTTGTTTTTGATAACCATTTTGTCCCCATTTATTGAAACCACAACCATATATCCGGCCATCGCTTGTAAGCGCCAGTGTGTGATAACTACCGCAACATATTTGTACCATATTTTCAATATTATCACATGTTTTGGTCGGTTTTACCCATTTGTTTACCATTAAATTACCCCCGCCCAATTGACCATATTTATTATATCCAAATCCATATATCATATTCATATCATTCACTGCTAACACAAAATCACATCCATTGACAAAGTATTGTATGTTTTGATGACATAATTCTGGGATTAGTTGTGGCGATACTATTGTCAACTCGTGACCGAAACCCAGGCATCCATTTCTATTATTACCCAAACCGTAGACCTCATCATTGGTTGTAACAAATAATACATTGTATTTATAATTCGTATCGTAAAACACATGTAAAATAGTAATACTGTCTTTAGTTTTTGTTATAATGTTATCACAAATTGTAAACTTTTCTATTAATTCGCTCATTTTTATAAAAAGTTTATTTAACTGTTATTAACTAATTTTAGGTATAATTCACAAAATATATTTATAAAGAAATAAGTGTTATTTAGTTGAAGGTAGGATAATAATGGTTGCGTCTATGATATCATATACTAATATGTGTTTGAGTTGTAGTGACTCAACAATGAGATACCGTTGATATCACGTCTGCCAACGAATGGCGACAATAGCTACAATGCCGGGTAAGAATTTCACCATAAATTTATTTTAAACGAGATTTATAACATAATTATAAATATAACTTTTTTGATAAGATATTGTGAGAATTGAAAATCTATTATACTATGATGTTTCTGATGAAATTAGTATGTTAAAACTGATTATTGTATGATTATTTAAGTTTAGGCATCATAAACCAAGTTTGTATAATTTGTGCAATTAATTGTGCAGGAATATTCAAAGTATATAAGTTAAAATAATGTATTCCTACAGGAGGATCTCATTTCGGGTATTTACCACCATGTGAATTTTGACAAACAGTTATCATGCTTAAGAAAAATATATGTAATACAAAATCTTTTTCATAGGGAATCTCTCATATTCAATGAATATAATCATATGTTATTTAACCTTCAGCTGACGGGCCATTAAGTGTATTCTACTGTACATTGAACATGAATTGGGTGTAAACTGTACCCTCAAAAAGAGAGATGAGCAAGGTGGTTAATTTGAAAATAAAAGTTCTGAAGTGGGTGCAGTGAACATGAAAAGGGTGTGTGTTCATGTTCACTTTAATTATTAAGAAATCTACATGTTATGTTATGTAATATGCAACTATGTTAAATAAGGAGTCGATTAATTGTCCACACATGACTCTCTGACTTCAGGTGACCACTTTTATCAGAAAATTTAACGTATCCAATACTAACTTATAATATATGAAATCAATGTAGAATTTAATGTAGAATTAGAATATTGTAATATCATCTCGATTAGGTGCATAAATTTTTGCTAATTTCTCGATGCTATTAAATTTTCAATAGAATTATTCAAATAAGTCATTACTCTGTCCCCTTTGCAGTTCAAAACACCACCACCAATCCTAGATTACGACCACGAGCTTAATTTCATCTCACACTAACTCTAACAAATTGAAATGACAAATAATAAATTTAAATTACATAAAATCTATGCAACACCCCTTTGCAGTTCAAAACACCACCACCAATCCTAGATTACGACCACGAGCTTAATTTCATCTCACACTAACTCTAACAAATTGAAATGA